CGGGTTTTGGCACATCTTTACAAATTACTTTTATGCATATTATATTATAAAATTCATGATCTACCAGATTTAAGGTCTCATTGGAAGCCGTTTTAAATTCGGCAATGCAGCGAGTATAAAATATGTTTGTGAGGCAAGCGTTGCGACGTCAAGTTCCCTCGAATCCATCATTCGGTATGGCCTTTGCGCAACGCAGCCAAGTTTCCCCGGATTAATTCAATTACTCTCAAGTTACTTCGTTCCGGCGGCGCGCGGCGTTCAAAGCCCCGGCTAACATGCTTCCCGGGACGAGCTCGCAATCTGTAGGAATTTCATCTTACAATGATAAAACGGCGGTGCCCGGCTCCGTAGAGATCCACCGGTGAAATTGCGACGGGGTTTGGAGGATTCGTCCAAGGATGCTGGTACAAACTTTTACTGATATTAATGGCCACCTACGTGGCCATTCTGTTTCTCGATGACTTAGCACGGATTCCTTCCGTTATAAGCTCGAATTCCCCGCCATTAATTCTCGCCGGAGCGGAGTCTCTGGCCACTCGTGGCGCAACCCCCCGTCGCTACGTTCCGGTGCACCTGCACACGATATCCGGTATTAGGTATTATCGTTTATTCGCCGTGTATTCGATCCATTCGGGCAAACGATGCCCCAGCCAAGCAAATTTTAACCGTGCCGCATTTTAGTTGGTAATGGAACCTTCGATATGCATAAATTGCAATCGATGCGTACCCCCCCCCCAACTGCCTCACCTTCCCCGCCCCCTTGTGCCTCGAGTCGCGTTCGCTGTTTCGTCGATAATCAGAACCAGAACGGTCCCGGACAAAGAGAATTCGACGCGACGCGACGCGGGTCCCTCGTCGCGCATAATTTACAATCGTTTTACCTACATTTTTCATGCACAGGACGAATCGATAACAAGTAGAAAGTAATGCGATATTCGCTGATTAAAAAGGCTTATAAAAATTAATTGCAATTCGTCGAAACAGAAGAATCTATTATATGTATTCATTCCGTAAGCTCCATCGAATACAGAATTCATATAAAAATGCAGCCAACAAATGTGAGACTGAAATTAAAAGTGTTAATAAAAAATAATAGAAATTTATTTCAATTTCGTTAATATTCGTTGTTTCATTCGAAGATTCTGTTTTATTTATTTATTTGAATATTTACTCTAATCTAAGTTTCTATTTTAAATGTTATATCATTCAATATTTTTCGTTTATATCACAATAAAAAATTATTCTGCTTCGCATAAAACAAATATAATTAGTTTTAAGTTTCGCATTTAATCTCTTAGTTTTAATAATACCTGGCCTTTGTACAATGGCTCTATGAGAAGACAATTTATGTCGGTCTAATCTACTAATGGAGTTGATTTATTTTTGATTGATTTATTTACTCTGTTTAATAAATAAATAAATAAGTGATCAATTATTTTATGACTGTATCTCGCCAATTGAGAATAATACCGTTGTTCAAATGGAGAACGTCAATATTTTTCGGTATATTGCTAACGATGTTTGTTCACGTCTTGAAAAGTCAACTGGAAAAGCGAGGAAAATACAAACGTCGACTGAAATTCGTATCGCGTAAATATTATGTACGGTTTCATCGAGTCAGTAACGTTTATAGTGTTTCTTCAATGTTTGTTGTTAAAATAAAATGTAACAAGTTCAATTAAAACTACTCGAATATCGAAAATGACGTAAATACTGAGTAGCCAACTTCCCACCGTAAATATTCATCCAGTCGGCTACCAAATGGCCATTGCTCATTGTCCATCGAGTCTGTCAAATATTTTCAATTAATTATCATCAGAGACTGCTACAATTCAAAGATTATTTCATTCATTAATTCAATTATATAATAATTATCATGTAACAAATCATAAAATCAGATGGCCATTTTTTACATTAAAATGTTTATTCATTCGTTCTTAATATTTTATTCCGCTCTACGTTTTACAATATATCCCAGTGTCGAGGCTTATGAATGTATAGGGGAATCGATGTATATGGTCTCGGGCCGTGAGCGCACGTTTCTTTGGCCACGATTCCGAAGTTTCGCGCGACGATGCGTGACGCGGGTAAAACCGTAAATAACGCGAAGAGGTCCTCGACAGCGGACAATATTGTATCAAGATAGGCCGTTCCTGGTAGCAGGATACATTGCATCCCGGTAACGCTGCCGTGTTTCCCCCATGAAACAATTTGATCGGTCCCGGAGATACGGAAACGTTGAGGTAGTCCTAACTCTTTCCACCGTTCCCTCTGTCCGCTATCGAAGAAGGTGGACGAAGGAGGCGGTCGTATACAAGAACGTAAACCGTCCCTATCCGACGGATCCATCTCGGTTAGCTGGTTATTTAGCCGTTTATGATCCAGTGGCGAGGACCGGACCAGCGCCGATACTCCAAACGAATCCCGTTCTTCCGATCCTATGCAAATTTTCGTGGAAGAACCAAGTGTTAACACATCTGAACTGGTTGAATTCAGTAGCTCGTAATGATGTAAAGAAACATTCGTACGAAAACCTCTTGCAGGCGTTAAGATTTTATTTATGATCCATAAATTAGGTTCTTAAAGTGTGCCAAATTGCTTTAGCTGATTTTATAATCAATTACAACTACAAGTACAACTGCGGAGAGTCAAGACTGTTAGAGTTTATAATAATTAATGTTTATAAACAATTATTGTATAAATATATACAGACAATGTAAATTTCTGTCTAGGTCCCACAACTTTATCTACTTTCTATAAAAATATGCAATTGCAGATAAAGATCCGCTGTCTAGTAACGAGGTATCGATGCAATGTTTATTAGCTGAGAATTTTCGTTTTGTTTCAGCCCAGTGCATCGCGCCGCTAGGCATGGAGTCCGGCGCGATCCCGGACGAGGATATCAACGCCAGTTCTACGTTCGACGCGGGAAACGTTGGCCCGCATCTAGCACGGTAAGCGACGCTTTTTCATTTCGATAGTCCGCCCTGGATACCATCCGTCACTCGTATCTATCGCTGCCTTCTGTTCTGTCGCACGTACTGGCTCTGCGCCACCGAATTCCGATTGACCGGGACGCACGCGAACGATACATCGTCCGTTGGGCCACTTCCGGCCTGACTTTCGAACCCTCGGGACTCTCGTTTTGCCCTTACGCGTCACAGCCTGTATTCAGCAGTCAAAGACTATAGCCGACTGCCAACTACTTGATTTTTCAAAGTACATTCTTAGCACATGATAGACTGGCAGATTTATAAAAAAAAAAATTTTTTTCAGTGATCATTTTTTATTTAAGGCAGTGACGCAGGTGTTGCGTCGTCAGCGGCTACTGTGTGACAATACTACATGACGAGTTGCGTCAACGGTCTTAAATTTGTTTAGGGAACAGTTTAGGGTCCTAAAATCAGAGACATACACTTTATTTGTTTTGCAAGCAATTTAACTGATGAGAGCAATGTCATTACGACGCACCTCTCGTAACAACGAATTTAGTGTGGAGAGAGATGTCCCGAAAATGTATGAATTCAAACACGGAACCGAGTGCTGCTGGCAGATTGTACTATCAATGAGATCGTTATACGAGAGGCAAAGTTTATATTCACCGAAAATAGTAACGATTTTCGAGAACGTATTATCACTGCATGAAGTTTATAACAGTAAATGTCATGGGAACTGAACTAATTTTCGAGCAAGAATATATTTATTGTAAAATATGAAATGCAATATTCGTGGGTTTATTAATTACAAAGAACATTCAATTTTTATATGGGAAGAAGAAGAAATATTCCATACCAAATTTAAATATGTTCAGCAGTACGAAATATCAAATTGCTAAAAAACATTAAACAAATTTTCAAGCACAAGGATTGTAATTATAACTTGTTATTTGATTACGACCACGCATGTGATTCAGTGCAATATTCTAATTGTCAGAACTCTTGTTAAATATTATAACGAAATACGAGATGGAACATTCATGGGTTTAGTAATTGAGAGAGGTATTTAATTCGCGTATCGAAACAAGAGAATATATTCCACACAAAATTTAAATAGGTTCATCAGTGTCAAATATCGAATTTCTAAATGATACTAAATAGGCTTTCGAAAACAATGATTGCAATTATAATTTGCTATATGATTTAGTAATATTTCAGTTGTCAAGATTTTTGATATGCATATATCACGAAATACGAAGTCGAACATCCATGGGTTTATTAATTAAACTAGTCATTCAATTTGTGTTTTAATTAAAACAAGAAGTATCTCATGTCATTTTCAATAAATTCATTAATATCGAGTTGCTAAAAGATACGAAATAGGCTTCCAAACACAGAGATTTAAATTATAATTTGTCATATGATCGTAATTACATAATTTATTGCAAAATTGTAATTGCCAAGATTTTCGATAAATAATATAACGAAATACAAAATGGAACATCCATGGGTTTATTGATTAAAGCAGTCATTCAATTTGTGTAATAAAACAAGAAGAAGTATTTCATATAAAATTTGAATAAATACATCTGTATCGAATATTAAATTGATAAAAGACATTAAAGAGGGTTCCATAAGCAAAGATTTGATTAAAATTATAATTTGCTATACTATGATTATATAATATAGTGCAATATTTTAATTATCAGAGTTTTTGATAGACAATAAGCATTTGGAAGTGTCCTAAGATAAGTAAATAAAGCTTTTTCCAGGTTAATCGTTGTGGAACGAAAATTCACATTTCAGGATTCATTAATCGCGTTGGTTCGCTGCCGCATGAATACGAAAAATGCGTGGCAGGTGTGTTATACGCGAGCACTCGTTAATACGTAAAATCCGGTTTATCGAGTTTGCATGCGCACAGCGAAAGACGTTATCACGCGTAAACAAAGAGAGCACAGTGGAGTGGTCAGGGTAATTATTTCTAATCTGACCGCGACGGGCTTTTTCCACCATTTACATGCGAGTGTCCCGCCACGCGTGTAGCTATTTCGCGTTTTTCACTGTCACGCTTGGCGCTGTGAAATAAAAAAAAGAAAAAGAGAGGAGAACGCAAGTGCACGCGTGTACGCGGCGCGATTAAAAACGTAGGAAAAGACGTATCGATTTCGCGGCGAGGCACGCGAGAAAGTTGATGAATTCTAATCGCCGGGTTAATGCATATTCCGGGAAGAATAAATCCTCAGATAACAACGTGCAATTAAATCACCCGGTTCGCATGTTCCGCACTTTTTTCGTACGTGGGTACCGTACCGCGACGCGACACTGGCCTGTAATTAATAATTTACGCGGAACATTTCCTTCGTGGCGCTGTTTATCCAGGCCGCTCCCCGTGCAATTAATCCAGTCGCGATAGTTTGATAATTCCACGGTGATCGAACGCATGGGACCCGGCGCCGCCGCTTCTATATTCATGCCTCCCATTCAGGTGACAGCTTCCGTGATCGTATTTTGTCTGGTAATAACCAATCTTTTGCAACAATGCAGCGTAATTCAATCTAGCTAGACGATTGCATATCTAGTTCCGTAAAGTAGCCGCAACCCTTAAGGTAGTTGTTGCCCGACTGTATTAAACTTTGAAAATAAACAGCTATTTATATGTAGCATATTTATAATGACAAGGTATAATATACATATATACTTTTTATATTTTATTATGGACGCAAAAGTAGACATAAAAAACACGGCAACAATAAAATCGAAACTTAATACGAAACTAGAAACGAGTGTAAATGGATGAAAGGTATGAGAAGGTGTGAAAGTACGAACATAAAGTAATAAACTATATAATGTGAATTAAATAGTTTTATTTCAAAACGTACGGTAGACTATATAAATCCGCCATGAAGGGGTGATCATGTGCGTTTTTCCTAGAGATTCAAAATTGTACAAGTTGTTACAATAAAATATGTACTACTTTCCCGTTCTTCATCTCTCTCTCCCTCTCTTATATTTCAAGTTCCACTGATGAAACGTGACTCTTTATTGAAAATTAATCCTGATAAATTTGCATGCCTGCGGAATACATGCGAATTTGCGTTATGCAATTCTCGTTTGATGCTTTCATGTTGTTTAATCAATAATCTCACAATAACGAATTGTACATGAAGACGTGGACGAGTTTGAACTGTTGTCTATAACCCTGTCATTAAATTAATATTTGCAAAGCATAGAAAGCTTTGTCTATTTACAGAACTCAGTAAAATTAAAGTTAGAGGTCTCAGAAATATGGAGAGACGACCAAAATGGAATGTGCAGAAATGAGGAATGCTGCATGGAATGTATAAGATTATTCAAGATGTTAAGAGTTGAATACATATTTCGTTTATTATTATATATTATTTCGTATATAATATATTATTATGTTTAAATAATGAAATAAATGTTTATTTAAAACACAGTTTTTGAACTGTTACCATGAATGTTTTATCTCGTATAAAAATCCGCAGTCTAGCTATAATAATGTTATACTGGATAATGAGTAAATGGTCTGCACCTCTTCCCTTTTAGGAAAATTTAACTTTTTCATCTGTAAATTCCAAGTGGGTCTGGAATTGTTTCGGATAGCTTTACGTTAGCTTTCATTATTTATTTTCACCGGTACCGCATAACCTGCCTTACCTGATGAAGTGTACATACCTGGGAAATTGTTCCAGCTTCTCTTCAAATCGTCATGCGAAACGAAAGCTCGAGCTTATTCATCATGCACGATGGTTTACGTTTGCATTTCCAGTTAGAGCGTTGAAAATTGGAGTACCTTCAAGCTCCTAACACAATTATCCCGGAAAAGATGTTTGCCGACGTAAAAAGAGTATTACACCTCGTGGCGAAAGGGTTGGCCATGTAACGGCCCTTGTAACCGGCGGTGGAACGCATGAATACGAGATGCGGGGCGGCGGGTGGTAGCGCGTGCGTCGCTCTCGTTACAGTCTCTCTTGCTCGGTCCATTTCAATGTGCCCGTTCCAACCCTCTTCTTCTCTCTGTCAACCCTTCCATGCCCGGCGTTACCCTTCCGTCGGTGGCGTTTAGATATTAATGCGTGGGGTCCAGTGTTCAGCGGCGGTTGCAGCGCAACAGCGGTTTATACGAATATTCCATCCCACGGGACATATCCGCTCTGGTGCAGGCCGCGGTTGTAACTCGAAGCGAGGTCCGAGCAAGAGAGAAAAGGAGAGAGAGAGAGAGAGAGAGAGAGAGAGAGAGTACAACGCCGGTCGCCGGCCCCGCGGGCTCTCCGATATTAATACATTCCATTACCGCAGACAATGACCGGCTGAATGGGCCTCCGACTCTTGATGAGCTTCGGGGCGCCCCCGCATCCGAGAGCCTCCTTCGCTCGTCTACGTCACCGTCTAATTTAATACACCGCGACCTCGGGCGAAGGTGCTTAGAATCGCTGATGATTCCGCCCCAATGTGAAAAAGGTGATTCCGGAGTGTTCCTTGATATATCGTATAGGGTGTATACAAATTATTACGTCACGACCACCATAGGGGATTCTATCTCTCTGGATCGGTGGAGATCTCCTTAAAAAATGCACCACAAAATTGATCTTGATTTGGAAAATTAAAATTCAGAACATGTAATTTGGTCAGCTATTCAGTTGGTGGAATTGGCACCGAGAGAGTAGGACGAAGGGTATCTAAATTCGATTTTACGTGCCGCATGACCAGTTCAATCCTCATGGAAGGTATGCTTCCTCTTATCTTCTTACACGTATTGACATTTGGCAATTTGACGTCACACAGAAAGGTTGAATCGACAAACGATCAGCCCTAAAATGATCCATCCTGAACAAACTTCCACCGCAGAGAGTTAACAAAAGGTAGAAGTCGGTTTAACCAACAAAGCAATCGTTTATAGTCGTTTCAATTAAGGTCACGTTATCCCGAGTAGGTCGTGTCAATCCCAGTCATAATTGATGTCTAAAGATAACCCGGCCGTTTGCGGTTCGGGA